TGAGTCTATCAGAGGGTCAAAGTTTGCTAAGAATTTTAATATCTTCTCGAAAACACTTTATCAACACTTGATCTCAAAAATTTCATTTTTTATATGAAAATGTAATTTATTTTTATTTCAAACTATAATAAAAAGGAAGTTTAATAAATATTTTTATAAAATGTATATAACAAACACACAAAGTATATATACAATTAAATATAATATTGATTGCAATATGCATTTGAAAAGAGACCAAGTTTTGACAATTATCTAATCATTAAAAAATACTCACTTATTATGTGAACAAAACCAAAATACCGGTAATTTTGATGTCTTTTTTCACTTTCAAATTATATTGTTAATTGTCTGTAAATGAATACACAAACGACATCACAAATCAGTGTTTAGTCAACAAACAAATATATAATCACTTAATAAATTGTCAATTATTTTCACACATATAATCCTTTTCATTGGTTGCGAATATTGTTAGACAATAAAGAGATGCAATAAATATAAGACATTCCGATGGATAGGATTCATCGATAATGTGTAACCACCTTATCATACAATTAAAATCTCAAATAATATCATCGCTCAGAGCGTTATTATATATGAAAGTTAATGAATATTATTATTATAAGCACTGATGAGTGTGTGTATTGTGTGGCTTTGAAAAATTATATACTTCTCAAACAAAAATACTATTAAATTATTAAAATAATAACAAAGTTTGCACAACAAATCGGTTCACAAAATTCACAACATTCATAACCATTGGGTAATATATCGCGTGATTTAGAGATCAGTTACTTCACTGCCTCCGAGAGGCACTCCAGCTGAAGATGAGAAGCGACTTTTAAGAGATATATTAATTTATATGATATTTGCGTTCACTTTGGCGGAGGAGTGCTATTTGGGAGACGACAGGCGAAGTGCCAAATAAAGTACCGAAAAAAATACTGTAGACTCGAAGCCAAAAACAACTCCAGTCTTCACTCACATCAATGTTTTCATTCTTTACTCAAAAGTTTGCAGAAACTCGACTGAAAGGGAGAGCAGTGTATATATTGTGGTAGAGATTAGGACAACAACTTCTCTGCCACCTCTGCCTCTGCCAATCCGGTGAACACAACTATCACTACAACTAATACTTCTCTCTCTCTCTCTCTCTCCCCTCTTTCTCATACCTCTCTTAAGCTCAAAGAGTTTGATATGATAGGCAAACCGGTGTCCCCATCCATTCCAGGCCTGTCCTTGACTTAAAAAAAAGTTTGCTCATCGAATAGAAAAAGTCCAAAACTTATTAACTCTTCATTTCTATATCCGTTGAATGTATCGATTGAATGCACATTAAAATCGTTAATTATATCGTAAACTTATAAATAATAATCTAATTATATATTTCCCAGAATATTATGTTTTTGTCGCAATTTTCACTTTAGTACTATTCGTTGCTTTGAAATTTATAATTGCTTTACGTTTTGTAAATAACTTTTATATATTTAAAACTTTTTCTTTTAGTTATCACACTTTTCTATGAGAAAAACTAATTATTTTTCATAACTTGTAAAACAACTAAAAACCATAATAACCAACGATTACGAAACATCTGCTCCGCTTATTCTGTGGGCCTGACATTCAATGGCTAAAAAACATTTAAATATAGAAATTTCAACGTCTCGTAAAACAAAAAGTGTATATATATTGTGTGCACAACAAAAAACTTATGATAAAAGTGTTTTTGTTTCACTAATTTATCGTTGAGTATAAAAAGTAATTCTTCTTTTGGCGCTTTTCTTGACTCAAAGTCTTTAAATAAACTCAGAATTAATTTAAATAAACTTGTCTTCAATGAGAAACACTTATATTTATCTTTTAAACATATGCTTTACATTTATATTTTCAAGAACTTCAATACACAGTATTATATTCTCCCTTTGAATACCATTTAATATATAATTATTTAATATATAATAAGAGAGAAATATAATGTGTTTGTCTAATAGGAGTAGTTCTCTGTCTGACTCCCACTTGAGTTGAATGACTGACAGTATAAAGAGATGTCTGTTTTCACGACTTCATGCATTCAAATAAGTTGCATAAGTCTCTCTCTCTCTCTCTCTCTCTCTCTCTCTCTCTCTCTAAATATATATTTGTTTGAATAATAATAGTATTATATATTTTTTGTTATTTAGATTCAATTCAAGTATTTATTTTATCTAATTTTTCACTCCAATTGTTGCCGATTTGTTAATGAATTGAGTTTTAATCGATTGAATTTCTTTCAATCTTCAATTCAATCAATCATTTGCTTATTTTTTATTTTTTTGATCGCATAATAAAGTTTTTAAATATTTTCAATTGTGATTAACGCCTGAGTTAGTAGTGCTGTGTCTGATGACAGGCCACACACTCGTCATATACTCCGTGTTTGCATACTATTTGAATCCTATTGTTATGTAATAAATGTCTTACAATTAGACAATTGTATTGTACTATACTTTAAAAGTCGTTGACTATTGACTCGTTATTTACACAAATTATAAGCACAAGTCATATATTTCACTCATCAATGCTTTTTGATTTGTTCCCATCATTAAGTCAATTGGAATTTTTCCTTTAAATAAATGTTATTTCAAATATTAGTTAAGATTTACATTTAACATGAGTTTAGAGACTAATAATAAGTCATATTTGATTATATGCTTGGTTTATAAAACACACAGTTTTACAAATGTTTTAATTATAAAAATTAAAATATTATTTTAATACTTTAACCATTAAAGTTATAAGAATAACACAATAATTGGGCGCAAAAATTAAAAACACATAATATTTAAACAAAATTAAGCCAAATTATAAGCTGATTATAAATTTATTTAAATAAGAGATTATATTTAACATGATAATTGACAGTCAATTAACTCGTTGATATCAATTGCATACATGAATGCTGTAATCATCCGTTACTTGTATTTTAAGAGACTTGACTTATTCTAACTTAACATTATTAATGTCACAGAAACTAGAATTCATTAAAAAGTAAATATTATTTGACAAATAGTGAGTGAATTTGTTTAAAGAATAATTTTTGGGTCAAATAATAAATTATTGTATAAATTGTTTGTTAAATGTATATATAATTTCATTTCCTTTAACTTTTAGTTTTTGATGTTTTATTAATGAAAATGTGGTGAATATTGGAGTCAAGATTCATATGATCCAAATGAATAAATTTCCAAATATGGTATTTCAGGACATTTCCATTCATATTAAGATAATATTGTAAATTGTATTTTTCCACAAAATAAAAGTTTGTCTTTTTATATAAAAATAAATATTGATTTTTGGCACAAATCCTCTGTTTTGCCAAACTTTTTCAAGAATTGAATTTCGAAAACAATTTCACAATAAAAACAATCAAAAAGTGTTAACAACGGAAATACTTGAAGAACTAGTTATATATAGAGTATATGTGCGAAAATAACACATAAATCTCAATAAATAATTTGTTTAATAAGAAAAACAACAAAATATCTCTACATTTGTCGCCAATTAGTGCCAAAAACAACAGAATATTCTTAACCACAAAAAGCAAGTGATAGTCAAATACCGCGCGATTTGTGTACGAAATGTATTAAATTTTGTGAAGCGATTTTCAATGCCATTGAGTGACGAAATGTGTGTTTATTATCGGATTTTGTGTCAAAAACAGTCAATCAATTGATATTTACTTTTCTTCCCTCTCTTCTCATCTAATCATCACTTTTTGGGAAAAGTTTTGGCAAAAAACTCTTAATCAGTATTTGATATGATTTTTATTTTTATTATCATTTATGCCATAAACTGATGGACCGATCGATCGCTTAGTTGTCAATAATTTATTGATAATTACAGACATTTGCAGAGTTTCTGTCACCACAAGAGGTTTGTTATTGTCATTAAACTGGTCCTAAAATGGAGACAATAATTAGCGACACAACTGTCTTGAATGTCATCAACGGTGGTATGAGATCTCATATTTGATTGCTTGATATCTGATGACTAAGTCTTTATTATCGATGGACTGACAGTTGATCCCGAGTTGTTAATCAATAAACGAAGTGAAGTGGTTATTCATCTGATGCTCATTGACTCAATCCATGTCACATCCAAGAGTCTGAATGACACCCGCATTAAGGTTTCGGTGGACGAACTCAACCAAAGAGATACCACCACTGATGACGGTATCAATGGTGACCACAAACCCAGTGGCGTCGAGATATCGGTGTTGAATGAAAATGAGTCAAAATTTGGATCTCAAGAACCTAATGGACGGCTCTATTCGGCCAAAGAATATGTCATTTTCCGCACAAAAGTCACAAATATTGATGAAATGGTAAGCAATTTATGCTTAAATCTGGTGCTAAATCTGGTCTTTAATTATTGTTTTGTACTTAAAAGGTATTTACGATAGATTTATATTCCTCTGGAAGCGATTCCAATGCAAACACAAAACGAATCGCTTTTTGCAATATATTTGCCGCTCATCTGAAGGACACGAATGGATTCATTTCAATGCCTTTCAATACGGAAAACGGAAAAATTGTGGCGAAATTGAATTGTATTTGACTTTAAATGAGTTTCAAATGATATATTTTGCTAAAAGAAAGTATCAAAATGTGTTTAAATTTAGTGGAATATGTGATTATGAGTCCCATTAAGGGAACCGACAATTTCTTGGCCAAACTGGCGGACGAGAGTTGGCTCACGACTCGCAAGGGCTACGATGTTGGCCATCGCGGCGCCGGCACTGCCCGCAGAACCGACCGAATCGAGAATATTCTGGAGAATACGATCGCGTCCTTCAATTTTGCGAGTCTTCACGTGAGTCTAAACATCCGTTTTTATTATATTTCCATTGATTTCCACTATAATTGCAAATCATTATAATTTTTATTTAGCAATTAATAAAGCCTTGAAATATTATTTAACGTATAATTTATTTTTATTAATTTATTGTAAAAATATAATGTTTTTTATCAAAATATAATTTCTGACATAATTGGAAGAAACAGTACTCAAAGTCAT